CACAACTATATGGCACTTCCTATGTGTCAGTTGCTCTTCTAAGAGCTTTCCATATATTAACTCATTTAGTCCTCACAAGATTCCTGAGGTATTATCACTATCCCATTTTACAGATGAGAAAGTTTCAGCACAATTAAGTAACTTGTTCAAGGAACTTAATCTCTCTTTTTTTTTTTTTTAGACAGTCTCACTATGTTGCCCAGGCTGGAGTGCAGTGGCGCCATCTTGGCTTACTGCAACCTCTTCCTCCTGGGTTCAAATGATTCTCCTCCCAAGTAGTTGGGACTGCAGGCACCCACCACCATGCCCTGCTAATTTTTTTTTTTTTTTTTTTTTTTGGATTTTCAGTAGAGACGGGGCTTCAAGTAACAATCTATTAATCTCTTAGTGGTGAAGCAGATATGTCTCACAGAGTCTCCTTTCTCTAATGCCTCATAAGAAGGAGACTCAGATTAGAACTAGGGATACTGGCTCCAACATCCATTTTCTTGACCACTTTTCTTCCCACCATGCCTAAGATCAATCTGTGCTCTCAACTGAGCTACAGTTTGAGGGCGCTTCTATGTATTTCTACATACCTGGCCTGAAGGTATGGGGAGTGGAGAGGGAGAATTCAGCTTAGAAGGTGCGCCAACTTGGAGGATTTACTCCACCTGTTTGGAGCTGCATTCCACCCCCTAAGCTCTGGACGCATCCTCTAGCTTAGCCTATAGCCCTCACATCCACTGAAGAGTTCATCTCCATCTCCATCTGCTTCACCCATTTCTCCCCAGGAACCCTTTCCACTTCTCCACAGTCAGAAAAGGGAAAAGCTACCAACGCTTTGGTTTACTTTCCTCCTGACAGAGAGCATAAAAACTCTCAAAGTCTGGGTGACACATAGTTATGACTTCTGGCAGATGGGGTGAGAAACCTTACTGTGTAATACACTTCCTCTCAATTCTAGAATCTTCCATGCCTTTCCTTATTTACTGGTTGAAGTTTGTGGCACTGCATGTGCCCCATTCCTTGTTTGATTGCTGAGGTAAAATATTTTACTAATTTGTATGAACTTGGTGGTGGGAGTGGGGATTGCTCATTTATTAAATTAGGCATTAGAGAGACTGTGAGACATATCTACTTCACCATCCTGATCCAGATATGCATACAGCATACCATACACTGTTTCTTGAAGATTCCAAGTTAGCTAGATTTTGTAAATCAGATCAGGGAAACTAGATTCCTATAGGAAAGGAAGGAGAAAGAAAAACTTTAAAGAGTATTTTAAAAATGCAAGAGGGTACAGAGAACATTCTGAGCTAATCAGGGAAAAAAAAAGAAAAATGCTTTAAGTGTTAAGATGTGCCAGAGATATGAAGCCTTGAATGAAGAATGTCAGACTCTCTGGTTCAGATACAAGTTAGAAATCAGGAACACATTTTAAAGTTTTCTAGGCTGAGCACAGTGGTTCATGCCTGTAATCCCAACACTTTAGGAGGCCAAGGCAGATGGATCACTTGAAGTCAGGAGTTTGAGACCAGCCTGACCAACATGATAAAACCCTGAATCTACCAAAATTACAAAAAATTAGCTGGGTGTGGTGGTATGCACCTGTAATCCCAGGTACTCAGGAGGCTGAGGCAGGAGAATCGCTTGAGCCCGGGAAATGGAGGTTGCAGTCAGCAGAGATCATGCCACTGCACTCCAGCCTAGATGACAGAGCAAGTCTCCATCTCTAAATAAATAAATAAGTTTTCTACTTTTTAGCATAATTTTCTCTGATTCTTTCTGAATATTAGGCCTTCATACTGTTAACATCAGACTTCAATAGCTTGCTTTTCCCCATCCCCAAGCATGACCTCCACTATCAGGAAATTCCACTGTAGTGCTCCCAGCCAGATACACTGGGAATGCCTGGTCTCTTTCTGATCCATTAGCCTACGACTAATAGACACTGAGGCAGGCGGAGGACACAGGAATTGCTGACCACAAAGGAAGCCCTGCCCCTCCACAGGGCTTATACCAAAAGGTGGAAAACTGAGGAGTCCCCTGGAAGGCACAGGTGCCTCATTTGAGTCATCTCACCAACAGAGCTGAGTGCAGCTAGAAGCATTTATGGAATTTTTCAAAATATAACTTCTTGTGGAACTGGGAGAAAATATTTACATAACACATATCTGATAAATGCAAATTTAAACCTCAGTGAGATACCATCACATACCTACTATAATGGCTAAAATTTTTAAGTTAATACCAACTGCTAACATGGATGCAAAACAGCTGAAATTCTTAAACGCTGCTGGTATAAGTGCAAAACAGTAAAGCCACCTTGGAAAATAGCTGGCATTTTCTTTAAAAATTAAACATACGGCCGGGCGCCGTGGCTCACGCCTGTAACCTCAGTACTTTGGGAGGCCGAGGCAGGTGGATCACGAGGTCAAGAGATCGAGACCATCCTGGTCAACATGGTGGAACCCCATCTCTACTAAAAATACAAAAAAGTTAGCTGGGCGTGGTGGCGCGCACCTGTAGTCCCAGCTACTCAGGAGGCTGAGGCAGAAGAATTGGTTGAACCCGGGAGGCGGAGGTTGCAGTGAGCTGAGGTCGCGCCACTGCACTCCAGCCTGGTGCCTAGTGACTGAGTGAGACTGAGTATCAAAAAAAAAAAAAAGAAAATAAATTAAACATACACTTACAATAAGATCCAGCAATCCTACTCCTTATACCCAAGAGAAACAAAAAGTGATGTTCACACAAAAGCCTATAAGCAAATGTTGCAGTAGCATTATTCATAATAACCAAAAACTGGATGTAACTCAAATGCCCTTCAATTGGCAGATAAACAGACTGTGGTACTTACATCCCATACGACGAAACACTATTCAACAATAAGAAGGAACACACTACTGAAAACACACAACATGGATGAACCTTAAATGCCTTATGCTAAATTGAAGCCAGACTCAAAAAGCTACATACTGTGTGATGTGATTTATACGACATTCTGGAGGTGGCAAAATCACATGGACAATAGATTACTGGTTGGCAGGGAGAATGTTGGTGGGAGGGGTTGACTACAAAGGCATGGCATGAGGGAATTTTGTGGTGATGTAACTTCTATATCTTTTGATGGTGATTTTAGGTATTTATTAAAGTTCAGAGCTGTACACTGAAAGAGGTAAATTTTGCCGGAAAAAAACGAAGTTCACAAAAGAAAAATGTCATGTGGAAGAAACTTAAAAATAACCCACTTGATTGGTAAGAGAAAGCTCAGGAAGGGTAAGTGATTACCACATCATGGGAAGAAATGAATAGCAGGATGGGAACCAGTGTCTCTCCGCCCCTGTCCAGGATCCTTTCCACTACAGCAGTATTTCTGATTTTTTTTTACCTTGACTTTCAGTCAGAAATATATTAGTTTTCTATTGCTGCCATAATAACTTACCACAAATTCAGTAGCCAATTGAAGGTAAACAACACTTATCTACCTCAGAGTTCTGTAGGCCAGAAGTCCAGTATGGCATGACTATATCTCTTGCTTGGGGTTACACAAGGCCAAAGCAAATGTCTCAGAATGTGTCAGCTGGCCTGGCTCTGAGGAGGAGGCTTGAGGGGAAAATCCACATCCAACTGGAGAGACTACAGGCAGAATTCTCTTCTATGCAGTTGGGGGACTGAGGCTGTTTCCTCGCTGGTGATCATCACTCCCAGCGTCTAAAGCCTGCCCACATTTCCTGCCTTATGACCTGTCCATCCTCAAAACCAGCAGCAGGCCTTGTCCTTTTCATGCCTTAAATCTTTGACAGTCTCTTCTGCCCTCAACTGGGGCAAAGCTGTTCAAGGGCTCATGTGATTACTCTGGGCCTGCACAAACAATCCAGGATAATCTACTTGAAGGTCAACTGATTCGTAATGTGACTTATACCTGCAAAATCTCTTCTGCCATGTAATGTAACATGTTCATGGGCATAACACCAGCAGGTGAAGGTGATGGGGGCCTCCCTTCTGCCTACCACATACATTTTACACAAAGACCAAATATACACACATGTAAATGAAACAATTAGAACACTTACTTTTACTAAACTCAAGTTATTTCAAAACGCTAGTGGCAACACACATTGATTTCACATCCCACGAATGAGCTACAAACTGTAATCTGAGTCTATCTCAAAAATGGAGCAGTATTTAGAAAATAAAATTTTCCTTAGATACCATTAACGATAACATCAAAAATATTAAGTACTTAGAGAATAACATTTAACAAAATACATCAATTTGAAAGGATGTCCTTTCAAATTCCCATTTGCAATAATAGGAGGCCTAGAGAAGGGCCTCTGGGGTCTGTTTAATGCTCAAAATCACATGCAATGCTATAGAACTAATCACAAGCAAAACAAGACAATCCCTGGTTAGGGACATCCTACAGAATACCCAGCCAGCACTACTCAGGCTGTCAAGGTCATGAAAAATGAGGAAAGACAAAGAAACTGCCATAGACCAGTGAAGACTGGGACCAATTTATGTACAATTTATCACAATTTTAAAAAATGAGGTTACTGGTACATGCTATAGCATGGATAAGACTTAAAAACGTTATCAAAGTGAAAAAAGCCAAACACAATAGACCACATTATTACATGATTCCATTCATATGAAAATGTTCTAAAATTGACTGTGGTGATTGGTGTACACATTTGTGAATATACTAAATACCACTAAATTGTACACTTTAAATTGGTGAAATATAGGGTATGTGGATTATATGTCAATAAAACTTAACAAAAAAATTAACTGGCTCAAACTAGGACCATATTTATTTGAACTCCTGAGGGCAAGTGGTGTTCATAAATTCTGGAACCACTTTCTGGTGATGTGCTGGAAAAATAAAAGAACAAAATTAATGAAAAGACTGCAGGTTAGAATGGCCGGCAGGAAAGATCAGGAAGGTCGGTGACCAGGTATGGTGGCTCTCCAGTCACAAGGCAAGAACAAAGGCAAGATTATAAAGCACACTAGACTAAAGCTGATCAAAAACCTTTATTCTGGTCCTCATCATTCAGTAAGCCACTTATGCAGAACATTTCTTCATCTCTGCTCCAAGCAGCAGTTGCTGCACCCAGGCTTGACATGGAAGACAGAAGTAGTGGAAGACCTTGCAGAGAAAAGCTAATTGATGAGATCTCTGCTTATCCCAGCATAGGTAACTGCAGAACAGGAAGAGTGTGTTTAAGCGCAAAGGCTCCGTTCTTCAAAGCTGAGGCCTGTAGAGAAGGGTGAACTGAAGGCTGCAGATGAAGGCTCACAAAACTGTTCCACTCAGCAATCAATCCAAAGTACCTAAACGTACAAAGAACAATGAGTACAGCACGAGACCTCAGGAGCTGGGTTAATGTAACAAACTAGGCAAAGTTAATGCCCAGTCTTTTGACAAAGACAAACCAAATATACATGACAATAACAGCATATAAATTAGGAGACAAGGAATTTGAAAACTTGAGTTAATGGATTCTGAGATCTCAATTTGTTGAGAATGAAGGGAAAGGTACTGACTAGGCTTTGATAAATTAAGGACTTACACAGTAACTGATAGAGTAATCACTAAAAGAATAGAAATATTTAACTTCCAAGCTGACAAAAAAATCAAATGATAATCTAAAAGAAGGCCAAAATTGAAATGAAATAATATATTATATAAAACAAGAATATAGAAAGCAGGACAAAATAAGACAATAGATTCAAATTCATAGATACGACCAATTATGTTAAACATAAATGAACTACGTGCTCCAGTTAAAGACTGTCTGAATTTAGGAAAATAATCCAGTTAAATCCTGTTCACAAATACATGGAAAGATAAAAATTAAAAATTTACAAAAATACATACCATGCAAATACTAACTAAAGAAAGCTGATAAGCTTTAATATTATTAAACAAAATAGACTTTAGGCCACAAAGCACAATTAGAAATAAGAATAGCCAATTTACAAATAGAAAAGGCTCAATCACCAATAATATGTAACAATATTAAATTTGTATGTATCTAATCACATGGTTTCATAATATATGATGGTAGGCCCAGAAATATAAGAAGAAATAGTCCATAATCATAGCAGATTTTTAACACACAACTCTTTGAAATTGGTAAAATAAGCAGACAGAAGAAATTAAGTAAGAACACAGAAAATCTAAACTATGCACTAATCAAATTTGGCATTGCAACCCCTCTAACAGCATCACTGAATTCCACCAAATAGTCCAAAACAAAATAATTCCAATCTTAAAAAAGTTTTCCAGATAATAGATAAGATAAAAAGTGGGCAAGGTGCAGTAGCTCACTCCTGTAATCTCAACATTTTGGGAGGCCAAGGCAGATGGATCACCAGAGGTCAGGAGTTCAAGACCAGCGTGGCCAACATGGCAAAACCCCATCCCTACTAAAAATACAAAAATTAGCTGGGTAGAGTGGTGTGAGCCTGTAATTGCAGCTACTCAGGAGGCTGAGGCAAGAGAATCACTTGAACCCAAGGGGCAGAGGTTGCAATGAGCTGAAATTGTGCCACTGCACTCCAGCCTGGGGAACTGAGTGAGACTCTGTCTCAAAAAAAAAAAAAAAAGATAAAAAGCATGTAATTGCCTGAATTGTATGAAGCTTACGGTATGAAAAAAATACTAATCTCTCTTATAAACAGGGATGCAACATGCATAATCTGTTTAAAAAATCTACATAAAATCTACAGTGAGCATAATTACTAAGGAAATACTGAAAGCTTTTCCTTGGAAGTCAAAAATGCCTGTTCTTAACATTTCCATGCAACACTGTACTAGAGATTCTAGCCAGTTCAGTAGGGCAAGAAAAAAACAAATATGAAGATTGGAAAGAATTTCACAAAATTATTATTATTAGCACGATATACTATTATGTAATTAATGAAACTCAAAAATCAACAAATATGTCATTAAAATTAGTAAGAACTGAATCAAAACAAAATTTTTAAGTAAAAAATACTAAAAATGGAGCTAAGCAAGATGCTAGGTACAAAATTAACATATAAAATCAATTATATTTCTAAATACAGCAATATTTAGAAAACAAAATTTTCCCTTCAAATATACCATTAACAATAGCATCAAAAATAGTAAGTACTTAGAGAACAACATTTAACAAAATATGTCAAGATTTCTTCAGGTAAAATATTTTATTAAAAACTAAATATTAATAAATGGAAAAGTAGACTATATTTATGAACTGAAGAGTTCACTATTTTAAAGATATCGTTTCTCCCCCAAAGTAATTTATAAATTCAATACAATCTCAATTAAATATCCCTTTTTGTGGAATTTGACAGATTCTAAAATGTACATGAAAACGCAAAGATTCAAAAATAGCAAAGATACTTAGAAAAAAACCAGGTGGGAAGATTTGCTCTCTCAGATAAAGCTACCATAACTGAGAGGCAGTGTAATACTGATGTGAGAATACCCATGAATGCAAAAGAGATACAAATAGATCAATGGAATAGAACAGAAGGGCCAGAAACAGTCTTAATTGCTAAGAAAGGCAGCACTGCAAAGCAGTGAGATGTTATGGACAGGTGGATATCTAATTATGAAGAAACAGATGAGACTGGACCCCAACCCAATACACAGAAATTCAACACCACTGTTATGAAAGACAAAACTACAAAGATTTTAGCATATAAGAGAATGTCTTCATGACCACAGAGTAGGGAAAATTTTCTAAAATGGATACAAATAGCACTAGTTATAAAGAAAAAAATGGATACATTTGACTACCTTTATCTTTTAATGCTTACCAAAAGACAACCTTTTTAAAGTGTAAAACAGCAGGAAAAGATATTTCCCATATACTAAAAAAGATTAATATCTAAAATATACCAAGCATGGCTGGGCACGGTGGCTCACGCCTGTAATCCCAGCACTTTGGGAGGTAGAGGCAGATGGATCACTTGAGGTCAGGAGTTCAAGACCAGCCGGGCCAACACAGCGAAACCCCGTCTCTACCAAAAATGCAAAAATTAGCCAGCCGTGGTGGTGCATGCCTGTAGTCCCAGCTATTTGAGAATCTTTTGAACCTGGGAGGGGGAGCTGCAGGGAGCAGAGATCGAGCCACTGCACTCCAGCCTGGGTGACAAAGCAAGACTCCATCTCAAAAAAAAATTAAAAATAAAAATGAAATAAAATATACCAAGCATTGTTATAAATCAATAAGAAAAAAACGAAAATACCTAACAGAAAAATAGGAGACACCCCTCAAAAAAACTGGACATGATTATGAAAAGATGCTCAATGTCACCCATAATCAGGGCAATATGAATTAACACCACAATGCAACTATCACTTACATTCAGTGCCAGCTTGTCAAAAATCAAACTCTGGCAATACCAAGTATGGGTAAGAATGAGGAGCAATGGGAATTATCATGCACAGCTGGTAGGAATGTGAACTGGAATACAGGAAGTTCAGCAGTACTTGCCAAAGATGGAGATATGAATACCCGATATATCCTAGGTCCCAGCAGTATTATATATTTTATACATACATATACATTCATCCTGGAGAAATACGTACAAGACTGTTCACGGAAAATTGTTTATAATAGGAAAAAAAAAAAAGGTTTCCCAAATATCAATATTAAAATAGTTCAACAGTGGTACTGTCATGCAGTAAGGAACATGAACAAACGAGTTATGTGCAATCACACAGATGAATCTCATAAATGTATTACCTTAAAGAAAACAGTTGTGTGACAAATGCTGACCAGCGAATGCTTATGGTTTGGTTCCATTTTCAGAGAGTTCAAAAAAACAAAACTAAACCTTAGTGTTCAGGGATGTATGCTTATACAGTAAACTATAAAGAAAAGGAAGGAAGTAATTACCAAAAAAGTAAGGATACAGTAATGTCGGAAAGGGGAGAAGAGGTATGATGATGAATGAATACATGTGGGACTTCTGGGAGCTGACAATAGCCTATCACTTGGCCTACATGGTGGTTACAAGGGTGTTCATTTTATCATTTACTGACTTTACATTTACAGCACACACTTTACATGTGTCGTATTTCATAAGACTTAGAATATACATATAAACATATTTGTATAAAATATCCAGATTACACAGGAAAACCAGTAACCGTTATTTGCAGGGAAGGGACCTGAATGTGGAATTAAGGGACAGAGAGAGGGTAGAGAAAGGCTGTTCACAGTCTTCATTTTCAGCTTCTACAATCAACCAGAGATAAAGCATGAAAGGTTTAATTGTGATAAGATATAAATGTTATCAGCTTTCACAACGTCAAAGTACCAGTATAGACAACACAAACTGAGAGCTACACGTGAACTAAAAAGGGAAAAGGGATACGTTCACTAACAGTCATACTTTACAGACTGGGGAGTCAAGAAATACATTAAAAGTTGGACACAACCACCACCAAAGACATTCTAGTATGTTATACAAACTGCAAAGGTAAAGAAAATAAAACTATTGATACAATTACCAAAAATCAGAAAGTCAGGAGGGGATTTATGGGGTTCTACAGGTTAGCCAAATTTTCATTTATCACAGCAGGAAGTCAACACATATCATCTACAACTGACAAATCAATGGGTAAGCATATTAGTTAGAAATAAACATAACCACCAGAAAAGCTCAAAACGCAGTGGGGAGACAGCAGCACCTGTACTTCATTGTAAGCCATTAGGTAACTATTTGATTTTTAAACATGAATCTATATTGCTTATAAAAAAGAAAAAAAGCTTCTACTTATACCATACACATCTAAGGACATAAGAACATTTATTTTACCAAGTACAACAAAATATAATGCAGACTGAACCCACAGGTGCTATGATGGCTAACATTCACACCTACCAATATAGGACAGAGCAGAGGGATTCAATCACAGAGATAAATGAGGATGAAAGCAGAGTATGAAAATGAACACAGCAACCCTTCAATAAATGGCCATTTATTAAAAATCCAAGCCAAGCACTATGCTGTGACAGAGGCTAGAGAGGAAAACTACATAAGATCTCCCCACTTCTATTCCTAGTCCCTCCAGTTTATTATCCCCAGAGCAGCAATGCTGTGAACTTGAAATACAAATCTGATCATATCACTCATGTCTTTGAAAAGCTGGTCATTAAACATGAAGAGGTAAAGTAGGCTCCAAACATTTTTGACTGGAGAACTTACAGAAAGTCTGTCACAAGGAGTGCCTGCCTTAGGTGAGCAACTAACAGAAGTTAATTTTAAGAAAAATGAGTAGGTGGAAAGAAAGGCTGCAGAAAAATCTACAAATTAAAAGAATGCTCAATAGTCTAGGCATGAAGCTGGCCATGGCAATGTATCTAATAAGACATTTAGAAAATATCTATCAGAAGGACCAGGGGCCTAAGTTGACATGGAGATGCAGAACAAAAGGAGTAAAAAACAGTGGAAAAAATCAAGAGATTTATGAAAGTAATAAGACTTGGAGGAGGTAATGAGAACACCCTGGGAGAATGAACTGAGGGTACATGGCTTTTGCTAAGCTATTCCAAAATACAGTCACGTGTTGCTTAACAACAAGGATACATTCTGAGAAAGATGCATCACATCTTTAGGCGATCCTACCACTGTGTGAACACCATAGAATGTACCTACACAAACCTAAACAGTATAGCGTACTACACACCTAGGCTACAGGGTATACCTATTGCTCTCAGGCTACCAATTTGAACAGCATGTTACTGTACTGAATACTGTAGGCAGCTGTAACACGATGGTAAGTGTATTTAAACATATCTAAAAATAGAAAAGGTAATGTATTTAATTAGGATGTTATGACTCACTGGGCAACAGGAATTTTTCAGCTCCATTATAACCTGATGGGATCACCCTCATGTGTGCAGTCCACAGCTGACTAAAAAGTCACATGCAGCACTTGACTATATATGTGTAGTGAAGAGTAAGCTGATCTAAGAATTAAGTAGCAGAAATAGCTCTAAGGCAAGGTAGCTAAAATGAGATATTTCAAACATTTGCTATTTTAATGACAAAACTGGCAGGCACGGTAGCTCACGCCTGTAATCCTAGCACTTTGGGAGGCCAGGGAGGTGGGGGGGATCACGAGGTCAGGAGTTCAAGACCAGCCTGGCCAAGATGGTGAAACCCCGTCTCTACTAAAAATACAAAAATTAGCAGGGCGTGGTGGCAGGTGCCTGTAATCCCAGCTACTCAGGAGGCTAAGGCAGAGAATTGCTTGAACCTGGAAGACGGAGGCTGTAGTGAGCCGAGATTGTGGCACTGCACTCCAGCCTGAGTAACAGAGCAAGACTCTGTCTCGAAAAAA